GGGGGCCACCCCCCCCTAAAGAAAAAAAAACCCCCCCAAAAAAAAAAAAAAAAAATTCACATCAGGTGTGTGTGTGTGTGTGCGTATGCCCCAAATCCCGGGAGGTGACTAGAGGAGAGGGAACTGCAGTGTAGCCATGTCCCTTGAGGGATGATTTCTCACTTTCTGGCTTTCTGTCTCTCTGGTGAATGTACACCCCCATAACAAAAAAACTCTCAAAAAAAAAAAAAAGAGAATTATTTAATTTTATTATTAATTTGTATTTATGTTTTAGAATTATTTTAACTTTGTTTATTTTAATTTAATCAGAGAAGGACAGAGTGAAACAGAGAAAGGGAAAGTGAGAAAGCAAGCTGCCAGGTCTGGGACTCGAACCACAGTGGGTTATATGGGAATCCAGCACCCTTAACCACCACGCCACCTGCCGTCCTCTATTATTATTAATTAACCAGAAAGAGACACAGAGAGAGAGAGAAAAGTGAGAAAGCAAACCGCCAGGTTCAGGACTTGAACCACAGTCTGCCACGTGGGAATCCAGAGGCTGAACCACCACGCCTCCCTTCCAGCCCCCAAGATAAACTTCTAGCTACAACTTCTGACTTGTTTGACTTTTTGCTTTATTATCCCCTCCACACTTTCAAACAAACTAAAGGTTTACAGAAACAATAATTTAGTGCTCTCAAAGAACCTCATTTATGGTTGTATGACCAGCTTAAAATCATCCAGCTGACTGGTGAGAATGTTTATTTTCACTATATAATCAGTCCCTCTTCTATTCTGACAACCTTCTAAATGAAGGTTGACATGTTCCTCACATCGCGTGTGGTAAGAGTCCCGGGGTCACGTCTTACAGAGAGCAAAACCTCCCTGAAGAGTGGATCGGCCCAGGTAGCAATGCGCGTCAACGTCACGGGCAGGCCCTGACCTGGCTCTAACTCACGCTGCTACCCGAAGGTCTCCACTCAATGCAGCACTTCCTGCCAAAGCTGGCAGGACTCTAACCTTCATGGCTCTGAAGTCCTTCTTCATCTTCTCTGGGATCCCAGTCATGAAAGAAAGCTCGGGCAGCAGGAGGATTTCACCTTTCAGCAACTTTGAGGAGAGAAGGAGAGGAGAAATCAGGCAGGAAAAGAGGTTCGTGTTTCCCTGGCATGACAAAGCATGCCATGGCCCAGGGCTGGGCCTGCAGGGAAGCAACTCACGCACTGCAGAACATAAAGCCCTGGAGGAGCAGGCAGGGCAACGCCAGGTGGACAGTACTCCACCCCCTCGGTCACACTATGTACAGCTCGTTATACTCGGCGAGGGAAAAATATTTAAACTGAGAAAGGGAGGGAGGGAAAACAAGATAAACTCGGAGAATTCTGTTCTTGGGCCTCCAAACAACTTAAGACAACACACACTACGGAGCTGGGAGCCTCGGTCTCATCTAGTCTCCCCCGCTACTCTGTCTTCATGAGCCGACAGACAGGGAAGTCGGCGGACGAGGCATTTAGCTGCGCACCACCCCGCTGCGGATGGTGTCTGCAAGCTCTCTGATGGGTTCAGTCAGTTCTCTTTATTCCTTTCATCTCAATTGTTCATGTGGCTGCTGAGCTCCTCCTTGTGGGGACTTCAAAAGCAAACCTACGGGAACCAGCAGTTAGCGTAATGGCTATGTCGCTGGACTCCCACGTAGTCGACCGCGGTTCGTGTCCCGGACCCGGTGGCTTAAAACTCACGCCGGGCGCGTGTGCGTGCCCAAGATCCCGAGAGGAGAATGGAGGAGAAGGGACTGCGGCGTGACCATCCCCCCTGGGGGGTGATTTCTCGCTTTCTGTCTCTATGTCTCTCTCTGTCTGTCTGGCGAGCGCACGCGCCCTA